CCCCACGTGACCCCACACGTGACCCCCAACCCCCCACGTGACCCCCGGCTGACCAATCAGAGGCCGCTTCCCTTGCAGATGGCCGACGGGGGCGGGCAGCCGCAGATCGCCCAGGTGAGGGGAGGGCGTGGTCAGGGGGGCGTGGTCTGAGCTCGGGGGAGGGGCGTGGCCAGCTCTCACCACGCCCCCTCTCCCCCAGCCCGGCCGGCTGACCGAGGCCATCAAGTACTTCCTGCAGGGCATGGGCTACAGTGAGTGACCCCCAGCTCATTAATATGCATGAGGGATAGTGAATATGCATGACGGAGCGTGAATATGCATGAGGACTCCGTATATGTGCATGAGGGCACAGTAATATGCATGAGGGGTCATTAATATGCATGAGGACTCGGTATATATGCATGATGGCTCATTAATATGCATGAGGGGTCATTAATATGCATGGAGGTAATCAATATGCATGAGGACTTGGTATATATGCATATGGGGTGATTAGTATGCATGGAGGTCATTAATATGCATGAGCGGTCATTAATATGCATGAGGACTTGGTATATATGCCTGAGGGGTCATTAATATGCATGAGGGATCGTGAATATGCATGAGGACTTGGTATATGTGCTTGAGTAGTCATTAATATGCATGAGCGGTCATTAATATGCATGAGGACTTGGTATATATGCCTGAGGGGTCATTAATATGCATGAGGGATCGTGAATATGCATGAGGGCTCAGTAATATGCAGGGAGGCCATTAATATGCATGGAGGTCATTAATATGCATGAGGACTGGGTATATATGCAGGAGGGCTCAGTAATATGCATGAGGGGTCATTAATATGCATGGACTACATTAATATGCTCGGCGGTTCATTAATATGCGTGACAGATCAACAGCGTGCACGGGTATTGGTTAATTTGCGTGGGGGGTCCTTAATATGCATGAAGAGGTCATTAATATGCATGACGGCTTGTTAATATGCCTGTGGATTGCCAACCCGCAGGGTGGCTCATTAATATGCATGCAGGGTCATTAATATGCATGAGGGGCTCATTGATATGTGTGGGTCAAGGGCGTGGCTCGGGGAGGAGGCGTGGCTTGGGATTAAGTGGGTGTGGTTGAAGGGAGGGGCGTGGACCAAAAGGGAATGGGTGGGGCTGGCATGAAGGGGCGTGGTCTACACAAATAGGCGTGGTTTATTGACATGGGCGTGGTTTACAGAAAGGGGTGTGGTTTACACAAATGGGCGTGGTTTAATGGCATGGGTGGGGTTTACAGAAAGGGGTGTGGTTTACACAAATGGGCGTGGTTTAATGGCACAGGTGTGGTTTACACAAATGGGCGTGGTTTAATGGCACGGGCGGGGTTTACAGAACGGGGCGTGGTTTATTGACATGGGCGTGGTTTACAGAAAGAGGTGTGGTTTACACAAATGGGCGTGGTTTAATGGCACGGGCGGGCTTTACAGAACGGGGCGTGGTTTACACAAATAGGCGTGGTTTAATGGCACGGGCATGGTTTACAGAAAGGGGCGTGGTTTAACAGGGAATGGGCGTGTTTTACATGGAGGGGTGTGGCTTACTAGGAAATGGGCGTGTCTCAGAGCAGAGGGGGCGTGTCTTGGGGTGGATTGTGTCGCACAGGGAAGGGGGCGTGCCCCAGAGGGAAGGGGGCGTGTCCCAGAGGGAAGGGGGCGTGTCTCAGAGCAGAAGGGGCGTGTCTCGGAGGGGGTGGACTGTGTCGCACAGGGAAGGGGCGTGTTCCAGAGGGAAGGGGGCGTGGCTCAGAGGGGAAGGGGCGTGGCCCAGAGGGAAGGGGGCGTGTTGTCCAGGGAAGGGGCGTGCCCCAGAGGGAAGAGGGCGTGTCTCAGAGCAGAAGGGGCGTGTCTCAGAGGGGGTGGATTGTGTCGCACAGGGAAGGGGGCGTGGCTCAGAGGGAAGGGGGCGTGTCTCATGGTTAAGGGGCGTGTCCTTCCAGCAGGGGGTGTGTCTCCTGGGCAGGGAGCGTGGCTGAGAGCAGAAGGGGCGTGGCTCAGAGGGAAGGGGGCGTGTCATCCAGGGAAGGGGCGTGTTCCAGAGGGAAGGGGGCGTGTCCCAGAGGGAAGGGGGCGTGTCTGACGGCTCCCTCCCCGCAGTGGCCGCCGCCGCCATGACGCGCCTCTCCCGCTCCCGCACCGGCTCCGTGGCCGAGCCCGAGCGCGGCCGCAGCCGCACCCTGAGCTCCGGGGGCGGGGCCGCCACGCCCCCTGCCCCGCCCCCCGACAGCCCCTGAGGCAACGCCCCCACACCCACCCCAGGACGCCCCAAAAAACCCTCTGGGACCCCTCCCAGACCCCTCGGGGCCCCCAGGAACCCCTGGGGCACCCCCAGGACACCCC